GGCCGCAAATGCATGGCCGGAGCAGATGTGGCGCTTACAGTCCATGAGATCACTGCATTCTGTGCCCGTGGGTCTCATTCTGCCTCCAAGCCAAGGTCCTCATGTTAGAGCTAGCAAAGGTCTCAGAAATCATCTAGTATTTTCCAAACATTTCTATCAAGTCATGGAACTCTTTTCTCCACAAACAAAATTCTGCAGAGCACCGCAATATTTAAAACAGATAACAGCAGAGCTGCCATGGCTACTGTAGGGTGGAGTGCCCCAGACCCAATGGTATGAAGGCACCTCCGTGGCCTCTGCAGAGCTTCACCATTTCTCCAGTCCCCTTATTTTACCCAGAGAGTGCTGGCGGCCTGGAGAGCGGATCCAGTCACGGCCGCTGCCACCTGCCACTTAGTCCCCAGCATCCAGAAGGGACACGGAACCCAGCCCTGCTCTCTCCCGTCTGCTGTTTCTGGTGCTTGCTGAGGGCTCTGGCTTGGCTCTCCTTGGACTGTAGTGGACCATCCTTGAGGCCTGCTCTTTGTCGTGGGATTTCCACCATTAGGGTAGAGGCAGAGGCTGGAATTACTGGAGATAAGTACGAGCCAGAGGCTCTGCTAGAGGAATTCCCACGACATGGGGTGACAGCGCTGAGTTGTGTCTAGAGTGCTGCGCAAGTTCTGAGCAGGGAGGATGGTGGCGGATTCCTAGAAAACATCCTGAGTGGGTAGGGAGACGGATAGCTGGGTAGGCTTGTGGTAAAGCTGACACTGTAAAATGTTAATGGTAGAATCGAGGTGTTGGGTATATGGTGTTCACTCTAAGATTCTCTCCACTTTGTTCTGTGTTTGAAAGTTTTTATGATTAAGTGTTTGGGTGGAGAAACATCCTGGAGCATTGAAGGATGGGTAGGAATTTGCTTGATGGAGAAGAAAGAGTGGAACAGTGCAGGCAGAGCTCCGACTTCTCAGAGGTCCCTGAGTAGTGTGGGTAGTGCCTGAGGCTAACTGCTATTGGAAAAAGTCTTAAGTGTCTCTGGGGAAGGCCCATGGGCTCTGGGAGGTGATGCCACAAGCTTCTGCAGGGGTGGCCTTGGACCTGCTCCCCATGACACACTGCCACATTCCCCTGGCTTGCAGGTCCTACATCCTGGAATTGGCCTGCAGTGTGGATGGGAAGTGACTGACCTCTTCCCTTTCTACTCCCCAACCCAGGAATCCGGGGAGCAGGCACCAGACACAGCCACACTTCCCTGTCCTAGGACTGTCTGGTGGGGCTGCCTTTGTTGAAGGGAGAAGGCCTGTAGCTGGAACTTGAGATCCTGCATCAGAGATTGTTTTGAGACACCTCTCGGGTTATACTGTGCATGTGCATATTCAGGGTGGGGAGTGATGTGCATGGTGGCTCAGGAAGGGCTCGTGGCAGAAAGGCAGGGGCTGTGTCTCTTTCTTCTGTCTCATCCAGGTCAAGGGTAGGGAGAGAGGGGTTGTGAGTATCCAGTGATTTCCTAGAAGCCCCCCGAGTTCCAGAAATAATCCTGCCTCCTTCCAAACCTAGAATGTTAGTCTTAAGAGAACCAAGAATGGGAATCTGTTCATAGAAAAAACCAGAAGGTCCAGACACTGGGCTTGCTGTCCGGGAGAGACTGGCAGCACCATTCTGGCTGGGCAGAGGGCTATCAACAGAAAACCAAGGCAAAGGGCAGTGTTTCCATAACCAGACAGACAGGGCCCAGCCAGCCAGAGAACCTCCAAATGAAGCTTTTCCCCTCAGGGTGTACCCAGCTGCCTAAATCTAGGTACCTTCTGTCTTGAAAAAATACAGCTGTACTGGGATGATTCCGGGCTGATCCACGTGGGCCAGGCTTCTTTCCTCAGCTGTCTCTGCTCTTGGGGAAGGAGCTACCGCGGGCTGGGCAGTCATGGGGGGAGGGCAGCAGGAGCAGTGTCCAGTCCTGTCTGGCTGGCCGTGATCTACCTGCTCTGTGATGGGCAGTTCTGTTGAGGCCCCTACCTTGCTCTTACCTGCCTAGGTAAGAGGATCTGGCCTAGGACACTCGTCACCCTTTAGGAGTGAAGGAAGGGTGTGCATGTGCGTGTGTAAGGGAATGTTGTTGGACACGTTGGCTTAAATGTGGAGGAAAGGAGTGCAACTTGCCTTTATTCTCTCAAAAGCACTTAAGGAGTGGCTCCTATGTGTCAGTCACAGGTACTGGGAAAACAGGGACAAGGGATGCCATCTCTGCCCTCCAGAAGCTTTGGTCTGGGGCAGAGGGCAGGGGCGGGGGCAGAAAATAATGCCCCTGTGTGGTGAGCACCGTGCTGCAACACGCCATGGGGCATGGGGCGTGGGAGGGCTATGGGGAGGCCCCAATTTCCTGCCTTGTGACCAGTGGGACGATCAGACTCAGCAGATGATTCCGGGGCCATTTCCCTGTGTGTGGCATCCCCAGGGGATAACTGATGGCACCTCCCTCACAGAGTATATGAGTGGTAGGAGGGGAAACCTAGCCAACTAACCAGATTATGAGACAAGATCCAGAACTAAACAGAGATCATGTATGTCTGCAGTGAGTAGTGCTGTTGTCGGAAAGTGGGCCCTTCTCGGTGCAAAGTCCAGGTTCCTTGGCAACTCGAGCAAAGAATTGAATGAAATGCTGGAGTAAAGTACGGAAAAAGTAGTTTATTCGAAGAGATAGTATGTTTCAAAGAGTAGAAGTAGGCCTGAGCAGTAGAGAATGGCTCAAGGGCTCATTATTAGAAGAGAAATTACATCCTATAAGAGCTTGGAGCAGGCCACGTGCAAAGGCGAGGCTTAAAGGGCTTAAAATGGAAGAAGCGGTCAAAAGAGCAGGACATCCAAAAGGGGGGGGGGGAGGTGGAATTCCCAGGACTTGGGGGGTTTTATCCCTTCTCTAGAATGGGCTGTTCCCCTAAGGGCATGGGACCACTTGATTGGCACCTGTGATTGACAAGAGGTACAGCATAGATGTGACTGACTGGTCTGATCTAGTTGGGTATTTTGCACCCATTTGTTTCAGGGGTAGATAGTTACAATGAAAAGAAGTTTTGGATTGAGAGGGGAGGTCACCGGGCGGTCACATCCTGTGGGACGTGCAGGAATGCAGAGACCCAATGCCTGCCTCTAACTGCCTGCCTAGTTTTCCCCTTGAGAGACGTGATCCCCAGAAAGCTGAGGGGCAGGAGGCCTTTTCTTCTGTATCTGCTTCCTGCTGGGCAGGGTCATAGAGCTGCCCCTGCCTATTGGGGGATTCACGGAACTCTCACCCTAGCTGATCTCAGATGAGAGGAAGGGGTCTCGAGATCCACCTGGAAGACCATGTTGGCTTCTTTGGTTGTGACTGGCAATCTGGTTGGGGTATCCTCTGTATCCCCAAGGTCCCTGAATGAGGAAAAATATATTTTAATTAATAAATCTGTTAGCTCTCATGAAGCCTGAAGCCATTCAGTCTGTTACTCAGGTGGCGTCAATTGTCTGAGCCCAGAATGGGTTTGGCATTCAGCTTACTGGCCTGAAAAATATTAGGAAGACACGGGCTTTCAAGTAGCTATCTGAAGCAGGGGTAGGAGACTTCTGTTGTTGAGGATTCAGAAACTGATTTACAGATCAATCAAGAAGCAGGGGGATAGGAGAATTCTAGGATTCAGGCTAGGAGCAATCTTTAGTCTAGGATTCACAAACTGATGAGAAAAGTAATCAAAGCCAGGGGCTAAGAAACTAAGAAACTAGGGAGGAGACTTAACATTTCTATACTTAACATTTCTATAGGAAAGAAAACTTAAAAGTCTTTGGTGGGGGAGAGGGGCACTCTCTTAGCCGGTAACAGTGCTACCAGAACATTTTCAAAAAGCCATAGCTTTGAGGCTGAGCCGTGAGAAGGAAGAACCTCTGCTTCACCCTTATCCCCTTCACTCACTGGTTATCAGCTGCCTCCAGTGTTCAGGTGGGTGGGGACAGTGTCTCACCTCTGCCTGACCCCATATGGCCCATTAGGACTTGGGTCTGTTTCCACAGGCAGTTAGTTCCTGTAGTCTGGGAGGCTGTGGGCCACCCTGGTGGGGCTGCCAGTTCTCTCCTCTGTGAGACCCTCAGCCTGGCATACAGGGTGGCAGGAGCCCTGGCAGGCATTTGAAGGAGCTCTGCAGCAAGCCTCCATGAGAGCACAAGTCAGGCTGCCATCAAAGCAGGGAAGGCCCATGGAAGCCAGGCCGTATGGCCTGTCTGCCGAGGGCCATGGCTTCCAAGGGTAGAAAGGGCTCCGATGGTGACTGGGGCTTCAGGAGAGCTGTGTGGGGGCTCACTGAACTGCTGAGACCTCAGCAGGATGACAGATATGCCATCAAAATGTACCTCTGCCGTCATGATACACTCATGCTGTTGCCGGGAGTATACGTAAACTGATCTCATCTTTTTGAATGGTCTTTTCCCATTACCAGTCAGTTTCCCAAAGGCTATCCCCTTTCACCCAGAAATCCCACTTCTGGGAATTCGTCCTATGGAGGTGCTGGCACAAATGCATAAACATGTATGTATAACACATGCTCATTGTACATTATTTGGGTTGGCCCAAAGAAAGGAGATTGCAACCTAAATGGCAGCGGTAGAAGAATGGTGTGATACATTATAACACACACACAAAGGTGTGCGATCATCTGTACAAAGTCATGGGCAGAGTCTGGAATATTCTGTTGAAGAAAGCAAGCAAGCTGCAAAGAATCATCCCTGATATTTTAAAAACAATTTGACCAAACGTACTTGATACACACAACAGTATATAGGTATGGACCTCTGTCTATTTGCTGAAAAAGGACTGGTTTCCTCTGGGGTAGGAGGAGGCAGTGAGGAAGCCCCTACTCTGGCCCACCCGTGCCTGGCTTTATGGACAAGCATGCACGCCTTTTGTGACATTTAAGAACTGGCGTATATTTTCCCAAAGGAAATAGAATGCGATCAAAAGCATAGCCAGTAGGCTAGCCAGAGGCACATGTGTCCCCTAGGAGCTGAACAGGACCTGCCGGGCCATGCAGCAGCGTATCGTGGAGCTCATCTCCCGCGTGTCCAACGAGGAGGTCACCGAGGAGCTGCTGCACGTCAACGATGATCTCAACAACGTCTTCCTCAGATATGAGAGGTGGGAGCCAGGGGCCTTTTCCCCATCATTGCCATAAGAGGAGTTTCTTTCATAAACAAAGGGGAGAGAGAGAAAGATTAGAGTTGGAAAATACTCATCAGAGTTGCTAATTTGTTCCCAGAAGACAGGGAAAATGCCTCCTGTTCTCCCGAGAACCCAGCAGCAGGGAGGTGACTGCAGAATTAGGCTCTGTCCTTGGTCAGCCCCAACCTGCTCTGCCTCCCCCCCCCCCAGCCTGGGACGGGGAAGATGGGGCACCTGCTCCTTTGAAGATCCTTTGAATTTGAAAAGGATTAAAGGGTGGAAAATCTCTACTAAGGAAAAAAGATTTACTCTTTCCAATCTTTAAAGACAGAGATTTTTTTCCCTCCCTTTCCAAATGTCAGTGTGTCTAGAGTGTTCAGAAGTAGGCAGGGTGTAAGTGCTGGAAAACACACACACATTCATTTCAGCTCTTTCTGCAGCCAAGTCATTTTTGGGTTTGAGGTAACAACCTTGCAAATTCTATTCCCTTTCCAAAGCCTTCCCTGGGGGAAAAGTGCAGTGTCTTATTCAGAAGCAGTTTTCAATAGGAGGTGTTCCCATGGCATCACTCTTCCCATCCCATCACTCTGATGGGTGCGCCTCAGGCTTTCCTGAATTACCCAATGTCAGCAGCAGAAAGCTCCTTGACCAGGCCAGACTTCCAGGTCTAATCCCGGAGTCCCCTGGAGACTTGGGCCCCTGGCCCCATGCTGACTCACACCTTGATAATATGGCACTATTTAGGGTTTGTATGACAAATACTTGCATTTGGGGGCCCAGAGGATGATTTTGCTGTGGTTGTCACAACGCTGGGCTTTTTCTCACCTTGACAGTGGCAGTAGGGATGGGTGGCCCAGTGCCCACCTGACAGATGAAGAAACCTCTGCAGTAAGAATTGGAGGGCCACCCAGGGATGTGTCAGTTGGAGAGTAAGAGCTGATCTGAGGATCTGAGGCCCCTTGACTCCCAGCCTGAGACCTCTTGGTCTTGCTATGTGGTTCCAATTTCTCCACTTTGAATGGGCTTGACTTTTAACCTTTTAGACCCATTTCAGCCCCTTCTGGAATAGGATGACAGAAACTAATGTGGGCATTTTCACCTGAGTCTGCCAGTCCCAGCATTAGCACAAATTCAGAGGCAAAACCTGGACCCAGCCCTGAGGTGCCATTCTGGCTAGAGTGCCGTTGATAAGACTGTCCCTTGAAGAGGGTATCGGAAAGGTACCAGGATTAGACGCTTTTCAGATGTATTCATATTCCTGTTCTCCTTATAGACCATGGTTGAAAACCCACACAAGTCTTTTTTAAAACCACAGTCAACACACATGTCCTAACCAGGCTGTCCCATGTGGGGATCCTGCTCACCCAACAAGAGGTGACCAGTGTGGAACAGCGTTCTCAGGGAAGCCTGGTTTCTCCGGGCTCCAGCTGGAGAAATGCTCTCAGCTACCCATAGCATCTGGGAGCTTTTAAATGCACTGGCAGCCCCCACACACCCCTCACCATTGCTCTCCTATTCCCCACCTGGTATGAGAAGGACTTAGGTAAGAGAGAGAAGAGGAATTCTGCAGTTGCTTCAAGCCAAGTCCCATCCTCCGCCAGACAGCAGCCAACAGGCTGGGGGAGGAGCCTGGCTGGCTGCCCGTCACTGGTTGGCCTAACCCTTTTTACAGCTACAGGGGGATCTCTTTCACCAGGCCAGGGGCCTGGGCCTGTCTTTCTCCTCTCGGGGCCTGCCCTGTGTGTGCCCTACCACCTTTACTCCAGCAAGTTGAGCTGGAGCATTTCAGTGACGTCAGATAATTTCTCCCCAGCACAGCTCTATGAAGTAGGGAGGGGGCTGCACTTTTTGCCTGGCTTTGCCCCCAGGTAAAGGAACTGTTGGCTCAGCCTGTCCTTCCAGAGACAAGAGGAACACCTGGGTCCACGGTGTCAGGGGATTGCTGGGGGTGCTTATAATGGCCTCCTGGATGTGCCAACCAATACCCTCCCCCTCAGTGCCTGTGGATGTCCGTGGGTAAGCCTGGGAGCCTGATCCTTTTCGGGGAAGCCCCATGCAGAGGAAGGCCTGGTGAAGTCGTGTGTGAGTCTGCTCCCCACGTCCCCAGAATGGGCCTGGTTGGTCTCCTTTCCCAGAGCCTCAGCCTCTGCTGGCCCCCTAGGACCCTCGGTCCCCAGGAGCTCCTCACAGGACCAGTGAGCATCACAGTGCCCCATCACCCCTCTTTCCTTACTCTGCTTTCTCTTCCCCTGTTAGGTTCGAACGATACAGATCAGGCCGATCGGTTCAAAATGGCAGTAATGGAGTAAGTATTCCTGCAGAATTCTCTCACCTCTGGAGGCCAGGAGAGCTGTCTCAGTTTGGTTTTCCTAACTGGGGTTTAAATATTTGGGTAACTGTACAGGAGGCTGTGGTGGAGGGGATACTGAGAAAGGGTGAGCAGGCACATCCTTGGCAGGAGGGTGGTGGCCCTGCCTCCTTTAAGTCTGTGTGGGTGCCAGTGGGCAGGGCTCACTACCGCCAGGCCCACAGCGGAGCCCTGGTGTCGGAGTGAGGGAAACTGCAGTGTTGGAATCCTGCATGGTGCCTGCTGGCTTTGACCTTGGAGACCAGCACAGGGGCTCTGGGGCTTAATGCCGTCTCATGCTCTGACAGGTGCTGAATGAAGTGACTGAAGACAACTTAATAGACCTGGGGCCAGGGTCTCCAGCTGTGGTGAGCCCAGTGGTGGGGAACATGGCCCCCCCATCTTCCCTCTCCTCCCAGCTTGCAGGCTTGGGTGAGTGTCTCACAGGGGCATAAAGCCTCCCTCCCAGGCCACTTCCTGGTTATAAGTCTGTGCTGAGGGCCCCTTCCATTCTCTGTGTGGGAAGGCCTGAAGAGACCCTTCTGGGGAATCCATGGGCAAGTGTATTCCCGAGGCCTGACCAGTTGTACAACCTTCAGTTCAAAACTTCTTTCCCTAAACATTTAAACTTTTAGTTTAAACCTGTGTTGGAAAACGGATTGGAGGAGTTCCAAGGAACTGGAACTTATTTGCTTTTTTAAAAAGGTGGCTGCTGTGTTTTATCTAGAATATTTCTTATGGTTGAAGCAGTTTCCTTCTCATTATTAGCTAGGCCAAGGATGGCAAATAGGCTTCAGTCATTGGCTGCTTGGAACACAGGCCTAAGAAGGATGCTGAAGCCACATCAGGGCTTGGGTGATGAGTCTGTAATTGATTGGTGATGTCTGCCATGGACTTGGAAATAAGAAGTGATGACACGGACACATTTGCTAACCTTGAACTAGCATCAGCCTAAAGTGTTCCACTGTCTGAAATCTAAAACAAGAAACTTACCACTTTTCCACAGTTCATTCAGTTTAAAAGTGTATATATGACTCTGGATGCTGCAAATACACTAGATGATACCAATTTATAACAAATTATAGTATTGAAATAATGAATAAGCATGACCTTCTAAAAATTCTTCCTTTACTCTGCTTTTCTGTTTTCTTATTTCTTAGTATTTATCTTTATACCTTCATTTCATTTCAATTGAATTAAGCCTTTACTTAGTGACCTGTCAGTGGCTGTAATTCTGGCTTCTCAGTATCTCATATCTCATATATCTGTAGCCCTGATTTCTCTGGCAGAACAGATTTCTCTGCCTTCAGTCCATCCAGCATTGGCCACCAGATTTAATACCCCAAATTCAAACTGAATTGTGCCACCTCTATTCTTAAAAAGGGACTTGTGTTTCCCCATGAACTCCTTTACCTAGCATTCGAGGCTTTTCCCCAGCCGTCTCCCACCTGCCTTTCCAGCCCTATCCTCCATTAATCTCTCCATGAACGTGGTTTGCTTCACACACCCTGGACTTCAGGCCCTGTGCCTTTGTACCTACCTGCCTTTCACCCTTCCCCCAACAGCATAGTCCCACTCGTCCTTAAAGACCCATTCTTTTTTTTTTTTTTTCAATGCTGGAGTTGAACCGGCAACCTTTCTGTTAAGAGCGCACACTCTATCCACTGAGCCATCCAGGTGGCAGCTCAGCTCAAGGTGCCGAGTTCAGTCCCAGACACGGGTAGCCCACCATTAAACAGGCAGTCTTGTCATGCTCTCACCAGCTGAGCACATGCTCTCACCAGCTGAGCCATCCTGCAGCTCAGCGGCAGCTCAGCTCAGGCGCAGCTCTGGCGAAGCTCACTGGCCCATGTGGGAATCGAACGAGTGACCCAGTTGCTCAGAGCTTGTGCTCTTCAGCTAATTTTTAACCAACTGAGCCACTCAACTGGCACTTAAAGACCCATTCTTATATTGGTTTCAAGTCTTTCCTATATCTCAAGTTAAGTGCTGCTGTTGTCGTCTGTCTCCCTCCTACTCTGTGCTCTCCTTGAAGCCAAGGACCACGTCAGATTCAATGTGGTCCTCTCAAGATCTAGTCTTGAACATGGTGGGTACCTGGGTACCTGAGAAATATTTGTCACATAACTAAATGACCAGGTCTGTAGACATTGTGATTAAGTTAATGAGAAGTCCACTATGGAGGGCATTATGGGACATCTGCAGGGACACTGGCCCCAGGCCCTTCCTTCTCACTGTCAGTGATCTCCTTTCCATTCATGATGACTCTTTCCCCATCTTGAGCAGCTTGGGGGACAGTGGCTGTTCTCTTCTCCATCTGGGCCCCCCGTGGCTGCTCCTACACATGGTGGCCTGGGGGTGTCAAGGAAATTCCTGTGTCCCCCTGCTCCCCACCCCCAAACTTTAACCTGCTCAACTGGTGTCCTAACTTTGCAACCCTCCATGAAGTCCATGACCCCCATTTTGTTCTCATCCTCCCCTCATTTGTTTTGTTGCCACAGACTTGGGGACAGAGAGCGTCAGTGGCACCCTCAGTTCACTCCAGCAGTGTAATCCCCGTGATGGCTTTGATATGTTTGCCCAGACAAGAGGGAACTCCTTGGCCGAGCAACGCAAGACGTATGTGGGGATCATTTCAGTGGCTCTCGGAAGATATTGGGGGAGGATTGATCCAGGCCTGGTCACGGGCCAACAACACAAAGAGGCCTTTTATTTACCAGGGCTAGGACTGCCAAGAACTTTGAAATATGGCTGTGAGGACTTGGCAGTAGACACAGATATTAAATGACAGTCCCTCCCCACCTTGGGATCGATTGTAGTTGGATTTCTTCTGTCAGTCAGAGAGTGCTTTGTTGTTCTCTTGCTCCTCCTGCTGCTGCTGCTGCAGAAACCTCATCTGTAGGAGGAGCTGGGAGGGAGGTGCAGCCAGGCAGGGACTGAACTGGTTCCTAGTGTGGTTTTCCTACTCAGGGCTGTGGGCAGAGGCGTCCCTGACAGCAGTCTGGCCAGGATGAGCCATATGGAGTGGGCAGAGCTAGTTCTAGAATAGACAACCCACTGTATCTCAGGGAGGCACTGGGACAGTCTGTGAGCTTTCTGTTCAGCCCCAGGCAGCGAGGAACACTTGCCCCACCTTTCCTAGGGGCCTAGCATCTTGATGCATTTAGCTTTTTGAATCCTGTGCTCAAGAATCAACAGGTTGACCAAAAGCCCAAGGCCCCGTGCACCCTTCACCAACCAAAGTTGCTTTCAAAATGGATGCAACAAAAGAGGTCAGGAGCAGAGGAAAGGAAGGCAACCCTCACCTCACAACCAGGGACAGACCCCAATCCCATACCTTCCTTGTTAAATGCCACTGAGGCTGCTGCTTTTAAAATAAGAAGTAATGTTACTGTGCCTTTACCTCCTCCCCGCTGAGTAGTCTCAGGGCGCCCTGTAATGAGCTTTGGAGATGCCCTCGTATTGTTACTCAATACTCACCACTGCTGAGGTGCAGTGTCCCAGCCTCAGAGGAAATGAGCAGCTGAGCCAGTGCTAGCACCCAGACAGGCCTCCTCATTCAGTACCAGCCCGAAAGATGAGCCCTTCGCCTCTGCCCCAAGGCCAAGACTGTGGGAACCGTTTTTCCGAGTACATGTGAGGAAGGAGCCATGAATAGAAAGGGATACAGGTCACCGCCCCATCCCCCATGACCACAGTAGGAAACTGATTCTGCTTGTGCTGCTTGGTCTCCAGGGTAACCTACGAGGACACCCAGGCTGTCAAAGGACTTGCTTCTGCACTAGACAGTCGGAAACAGAGCTCCGAAATGGTAGGTCTTTAGCCCTGTATTTCTGCCTGGCGTCCTCTGGAGGGAAAGTCAGGCAATTTGGTAACACTGGCTGGATAATTAGGGCAGAAACTGGCTTGCCCAGAGGGCAGGACACGCTGGAGATCAGGATGAGAGCACTGTATGACCTCACTGAATCATCACCCCACCCCATGGGTGACAGCCCAGGTCAGCTTTCCCATAATACCTAAGAGGAAGCAGGCCCAGAGAGGTGGCACTGTGTTTGAGGGACCCAGTGAGCAGACAGCAAAGCAGGGTTCACTCCAAGGAGTTCCAGCTCCAGAATTCCTGCTCTTCCTACATCGGTGTCCCTGCGGTCTCAGGGCACAGGTCTTCTATGGCCACACAGGGTCTTTCCTCAGATGTTCAGTGCCCTGGGGATGGGCAGTGTACTGACAAAATAATGACCCTTACAGGAGGGGAAAGCTTGTCTGGCACCTCTCTGCTGACCGTTTGTTGCTGGCCTAGAGAAACAGCACCAGCCCCATTACAAGGCAGCTGTTGGGTGGGAGGCCGTTCTGGGAGCTCCTGTCTGAATGGAGCAGAGCTACAGGCAGAGGTGCTTTGAAGTGAAGGGTGGTGCTTGTCAGAGCCCCCAAATGCAGCCCTGGTTTCTGTAAGATTTCAGATCATTGCAGAGGAAAGGATTTGTGTCTTAATGCTTCTCATGCGATTGTTCCCCTTCTTGCCTAAGAAATGTGTGAGGCTGTGTGTGAAGGAATGTTTGCTTGCAGGGGTGGGGAAGGGGAGGGCTATTGGGACAGCAGCCCCAGAACAGCTAGAACTTCTTTCAAGGTCCCCCAGTTGGGCTAAAAAGAGGCAGTGCTCATCTGTTCACTGATGGGAAGGTTTGCCTCCCAAATGCCAGTTCTTGGCCTCCTGCAGTCCTGACCCAAATGGGCCCAGGCAGGCAGCAGTGCTGCTGCCTGGTTTCCATAGGAAAGCTTCCCTTGGGGGAAGGGACCCCTCTGCTTCTGACTCAGCCAACTTGGTATGAAGGCCGCGTCCCTCTCCATTGGCCACTAGGGGGCACTGAAGAGCCAGTCCAGCAGCCTTGGTTTCTCAGCACCCTGCCTTTCCACGGAAGAGCGCCACCTGAACCCCTGAGCCCTAGACTCCCAACATCTATGCAGTGGTCACGGTTCTGTTTCCCCCACTACTTAGAATACCCCCCGCCTAACTCAGGGAGGGCATTAGGGAGCTAGGCTGAGGGCCCAGCAGCACGCTGCCAGATGAGAGCAACCCCTCCTCTTGGCCCACCCTGGCCTGGCCTACAGCCCCACCCCTCAGCCAGGCTCACTTGGTTTGTTTCCCACTCTGCCTCCAGGGCCTGCTCTGGCCATGCCAAGTTGTGCCCTACAACACCTCTGCCATTATCGGTGCCCATGCCTAGGTCCGAGCATAGATGTGGGCAGCTTCCCACCCTTCACCCTTTGGTGTGTGGCTTGGCCCATCTCCCTGTTTTCAAAGGTCTTGATGACTCCAGCATGTTTTCCTCACGATGGTAGGCATATTGCTTTTCATTTTCACTGCTCAATGGGGCAATGTGGGAAAGCAGGGCTTGTGTTAGCCGTGCATGTGCGTGTGTGTATCTGTGTGTGTGTGTGTGTGTGTGTGTCTGTGTATATCTGTGTGTGTGTATATCTGTGTATCTGTATCTGTGTGTGTGTGTGTGTGTGTGTGTGTGTGTGTGTGTGTATTGGTATCTGCACACACACACTGACTCACGTGCACCTTCAGGCCAGTACTCCAGATTATGGTGCTCCATGTCTTAAACGGTGCTGACCTAGAAATGACAACTGGGTCAAGGGGGACAGTAAGAACACAATAGGGGGGAGGGGGATTTGTATAGCCACACCTCTACAGTGCAACCAACCTTAAATACTTTTATCATTTTCAAAAAAGGGATATACCTAAATTCAGTATTCAAATTAAGAGTTTGGAAAAAGAACACACAGGTAACTGAGAAGGAAGAAAAAAGAGAACAAAGCAGAAATAAATTAGAAAAAAGTAGAAATGACTTAGTAAATCTGGCTCTTTGATAAGTGGACGCTTTGCCAACCCCAAGAGCCTTAATTGAGAGAAGCAGCTTTGGGTGGCCTCTGTGACCTCACGGAGATCTTCCTTCCGGGTGTATGGGAATGGTTGGCATGAGTATGTGTGATTGTGCTGGGATTCTTGCTTACTAAACTTCTGTTTTCCAGGTAGGTAAGGGTACATGCTGGGGGGCAGGGGGCAGACACCAGGTCGCATCTCCTTACATGCCAAACGATCAGCTCTGAACAGGGGCTTTTCTGTCTCCACGATATATATACGATTGCTACTTTATCATGGGTCTTGCTGTGACTTTTCTTTCTGGGACTTTTCTGTCCTCCGTCCAGATGAGAGGTAAAAGTGTGGACTCTGACCTGGAGCCCATAGACAGCTGGCTCATAACCCAAGGAATGGTGAGAGGTCACCAGCTGAGCCAAGCCCCTTGTCCACCCCAGCGCTTACCTGTGTCACCTGCTGAGCCTTTGTGAGTCAGACAGTACAAGGCCATTCTCCTGACTGGGTGCCAAATTTCCCCCTCCTGTCTTTGTACAATTTCCTTGAGCCATAGGCTTCCAGCCCCAGAAACACCTCCTCTGGTTTTCTGCTACGGTCCACGCCTGTGCCTCTAGGGCCTGGGGCATTTTCAGGAGTGAGGGGAGGGCCCCTTCCCTCCTTTTACTGTCTCTGGAGCTCTCAGCAGTATTCACTTTTCCAGGATGAGCACAAGTTACTGTGGCTTTTGCTTGGGAGGGGATGTTTCTAAGAGAGCAGACTCCAAGCACCTCACCAGTCAGAGAACCCCCTCCAGCCTGTGAATTTGGCAGTCCCGAGGGGATGGGTTTCTATAATGTAGTTATTTGTGTCCACTATGTCCCCCAGAAGGATCCGAAACCTCCTAAACACACAAACACAATAGAAACAGAATAAAAAGAATAAAATTAAAGCCAGGGGAGTTTAATATCCTAAATGCAGTTAGCTCTCAAGAAGTAGAGCTTTCCTGGCACAGAGACCTGGGAAGGTCTCTGCCGCCTCATCTGATCAGGCAGCCCTGAGTATGTGCACAGAGAGAGGGTTACCTTGCCTTGGCATGCTGATTTTCCCTGTGCTGAAGCCACAGCCTCACCGTGCACCTCTGACATAGAAACCACAGGTCTGTGCATCTGTGGTGAGCTGGTGTGGGAGAGGGAGCCGAGAAGGAGAAGCGAGAAAATCAGTGGAAGTGTAGGCCTCTGCCCTGCAGCTGAGGTGAGGGAGGCGCTGGGCACACAGAGGGAAGAAGCGTGACTGATCCCTAGGGATCCCGCCAGGCTGTGTCCAGGGATGGAGTGTTAGAGCAGGGCCAGCATGTCCGAGACTGAGGGTAGCATGGGGTCACTTGCCTGAGCAAGGTGTGACCAGTACACAAGGATATGGGTGGGCCATGCAGGGCCATCAGAACCATGGGGGCAAGGGCTATCTGCCTGCCACCCAGCTTGCAGCTGGTAACCTTTCCACAGCTGTGCCCGTGTCCCTCCACCTGTCAGAGCAGCAGAAACTCCGTCCTGCCTTGTTTCTGCACCAGACCCCATAGCCAGTCTTAGAGACACGGGCTGCCAGGGCCCCTCCTTTGCTGCTTCACTGACACCCTGGGGCTCTGGCCCACACATGTGGGTGATCTCAGAGCAGAACTCCTAGAGACCATGTCCACTCCACTGTCCAAATTGGGACAGTCCAGCCATGTGTCCTTGTGCCTATTAATCCTGCAAAAAAGGATACTGCCCACAAAACTAACCTGTGTGTGGCCTTGGCAGCTGTGGTGGTGACTGCCTCGCCTACACAGGCCGCCCCCCACTGCCCTGTCCCCTCTTGAGGGCTCCAGTCTCCGACTCCCCAGAAATAAGCCCAACTAACAGCTAACCTGGTGTCTCACTTGCCTGACTGCAGTGTTTTTTTCTTTTCAATGACGTCCATTAATGGCTTTGCCTTACTTCCTGTAGCATAGAACCCTGAATCTGTCCAGACCTCCCAGGTACAAATTCTTTACTTGGAAACTTTTTGTACTATTGAGTGAAACCAAAGGGCTCTCAGACCACCTGTGAAGAGGACTTCACAGCTTCTCTGGAAATAGCATCCCCGAGCTACAGAAACTGCTCCTGTCACATGGACAGTTAGGTTTCCTTGTAGATTGGAGCTGTGGGAGACAGACCCTTGCTCTCCTGGGACTTTAGGTGAATGGATATCAGTCACCAAAGTCAACAATACCAGGCTCATTACCAGTTGAAGAAAGCGCTGAGAGTCGCTGGGCCATGAAGCAGCCTGCCCGGAGGCGGCTGCTGCCTGTGCTCTCTCCCCACCCTCCCCAGCTCATGGGCCTTTTTCCTGCTGGTGGTCAGAGAGGACTGTCCCCCATATTCAGGGTGCAGCCAGGAAAATACCCGGATATGAACGAATATAAGTCACAAGAACAGAAGTAGGTTAGTAAAGAGTCTGCTGCTCCCTACTCAGACCTGGAGGACACCCCAGACACAGTAAGCCCAAGGCCACAGAGAGCGCTGGCTGTGGCTGGGCCCGGGGCTGCACCTCTCTGCCCGCCTGCAGCCAGGTGAGGATAAGCTGATAGCAGACAGCTCACCCACCACTCCTGTCAAATTCTGCTTCTGGCATCCAACACGCCAGCTTCTCTTTGGACTCTGAAGGTGGGCAGGGCTCATCTCACCACTGCCTTTGCCCAGCCAGCCTATCTGGCCTGTCCTCAGAGGGTGTTAGTTCTAGACCCTGGCCTTTATTGGAAGGTGATCCTGGACTGTCTTCTTTTATTTTCCTCTCTTCACATCTTTTTTTCCCTTTCTGTCTCCCTCCTCCAACTCACGCTCTTCTTCAGACCCCTTAGACCAGCCTTTAGCTTGTATCATTGCCCAAGACACTAAAACCACAACCGGTCAGAGCCTACAGTCTCTTAGGGATAAGCTGGGCCAGCCCTCGTTTGATGGATGAGAATACCGAGGCCTCACAGCAGCCTGGTGACATGCCCAAGGCCACGGGGCAGTGACAAAGTCCAGTGCCCTCTTTTTATTTTATTTTTTTTAACTCCCCCCCCCCAACCCAGTGCCCTCTTTTTAGTTAAGACCCCTCCTGCCCTCCCATCAGCCTGGCTGGAGGAGCTTTCTCATCCTCCCTCACAGTGTCTCCAGTCCCTGTTCACAGATCAGTGGACATGTTTCGTCTGTGTCTGGTAGCACCTACATCATTAGAAGGGACTTTACCCTGGTGTGATACGAAAGGCGTTGGTTTACCAAGGCAGATGGGTTACATCACTAAGATATGTGTCCAACCACAAGCAAGGCAACCCCTGTCTTCCCTTATATAAGCCTTATTGTTAGCCCACACCCTAGCTCCTCAGTGATTCATGCCCTGAGGCCGAGTGCCTTTCATACTGTAAGGATTCAATTCTGATCATTTCTCACATCTGAAAACAGACACACCAACCTAAAGATGAAGGGATTTGGAATCGTGAGTGGTGAATGCTAAGTACAACCTAGCCATCACCCTATCTCACAGATGAGGAAACCGAGGCCCAGAATTGCCCAAGCCCCTGCCCCTGCCTCTCCACCCAAAGCTCTGACGCTTCTTAGAACAGCAGAGGCCCCGGAGCTCCTGAGTGAAGAAGCAGTTGTGGAGAGGAGCTACTCACCCCGTCCTACACCATGAGCGCTGGGACCAGCTGAGCGAGCCTGAGCCTCGCCTGTGCTCCCTCCTCAGCTTGGCCCCGTCCTTGCCTGGAGGAATTCTTCCCACAAGCACACTACTACTTACTTGGAGAAGGCTGGGAGAGGGAAGAAAAGTGTTCCCATGATTCAGGGTTTCTTTTTTTGGGGGGGGGGTTCATTTTTTTTTTTGAGGTGGTGAGGAGTTTCTCAAATGTTACTGTTTCTTTTCTGAGCACACTGGCTCTCAGGATTAATCCTCAAAGAAGAAAACTAGAGCATGATCCACAGCCTCAAGGGACTTATTTTTGAACAGTAACAAAAAAAAATTATAAGCAAAATCTGAAGGTTTAAGGCCCATGACCTCTCAGTGGCTATTTTTCAAGCTTTTTGCAACACATTGAAAAGCTCTGTCCATGGAGTCTTCGTTTCTCCTAGGTGGACTAAAGCTGGGTATATATATTTTTTAAAAGCCCAGCACACACTCCAGCAGTTGCTGTTGGGCATGTTTTCTCTTTGGAGATGCAGCTGACTTTCCAAGCCTTAGTTCTGGGAACTTGGCGTAGCACACATCCTCCCAGAGGCCAGGCATTCTGACTTAGACGCATCAAGATAATGAAAATTGGCATCTCCTGTCATGAGAATGTCAGACAGAAGTCCTGCCAGCAAGCATAAAATTAGCAGATCACATCCTGCGTGCCCTACTACTTTCTTTTCGATGGCTAAGGTGGGTGCCGCCTTTAGTGCTGTTAGCGCTTCCGCCGGGCATGTGGGCCTTCCGGAGTGTCAATCACATCTTCTTTGTCCCTAAGTCATTTCCAGGTGATGTGAACTCTGTGATATTTATTCATTTCAACATTCTTAAGTCCCTAGTAAGTCAAAGAAATAAAATGAAAACATAGAATCTCCCTAATTTTATCAAGATTAACTTGAGCCTTTATGAAAATGCGTGTGGACTGCCCACGCTGGGTCTGCAGTTTGGCACAAGCACATGAAGCTACCAGAGTGAGGGTTCTTTGGCCTCGCTGAGTGAGTGTGTGCAGGACCCCGACCCAATCAGATTCCTGCTCGGTGTGTTTGGGGGGGGCTTTGAAGTCCTCACCCCACTGCCCACCGCAAACCCAGTCTTCGGCAGGTTTCTACCTCTCAGAGTAGCTTGTCACGGCAGGGCAGGGCTGGTGATACGAAATCTCTGCTCTCCTTTGTCAAGGTCATGCGATTGTTTAGATTTGGCAAACTCTAAGACAATCCTTTTATTTTAACTTTATTCTTACCCAGATTGTGACATTGTGGTGAAGCTAGCTATAGAGTCAGTCCTGGCAATTTTTCTAGAAATAGTGGGCCAGATTAGGTGGGGAGTCAGGTTGCCTCGATTAAGGTCAGGCAAATCATTGCTCTAGGCTGGGAGCCAACATTTCGTTAACGTGGCTTCTAGAGGGTTAAAGGTTACCTTTACTTCTTGTCATATCTTACAGCAATGTAAATATTTCTAGCCAAATGCTTTTTTCAGAACACTGTCCCCAAGGCCCTTGGCACAGGTGACCAACTACTGCGTGGACACTGTTCAGGTACCCGTGAGGTGTGTCTTTGTTTGCTCAGGGACCCAGTCCCCTACCCCCGTCCACTGCTCCCCAGATCTCAGTTGAACTTCTTTTCTTTGGCTGCTGAAGCACAGACAGCCATTGAAAGCTGAGAAGAAAGGGCAAGACTAAAGGAAGCTACTGCATTCAGAGCTGCTTACTGATTTTTTTTCCTGAAGGAACACAAAGACAACTAAAGCCTGGCAGCCCCTTTTGGCAATAAAGCCTTTGTTTTCGCTGAGTTTCTGTTGGTGGTCAAGTGTGCCTGTCCTCTGTCGGCCAGGCCACACCCAGCACCCCCTACCCCCTTCTCTCATACTCAGAGATGCATTTTGAAATACTCCCTGTGAGTAAGCAGAGCCCCCACAGACTCCCAGGGCTGCCTAAACACCCCTGCTCTGGGCAGACTGCCGCTTGGCCTGCCCAGTGGCATCAGGGGCCCACTGGTGGCTTCTCCAGTTCCCCCCCCACCCCCACACACACACCCAAGGACTGGGCTCAACAGTAGGTAGGCAGTATTCCTCCAGCTGTCATCGCTGAGGCGTTCAGAATCAGCCTGCGGGAGCAGCCTGCTTTGCAGCGGGGCCTGAGAAACCCATGATGTGAGGGCTGCTGCCATAGTCAAAAAGTTCTCCATTTCAAGAACGCGTACTGCCTCCCGCCCGCCCTCCCACCACTGGTCAGCCCTGCTGCTTAGAGCTGGCCACCTCATTGCTTTCCTCACTTGCCATTCCATGTGGCTGCCTTGTGTTGCCCGTGCCTGCTGTGCTCATGTGTTTTTTTTTTCTCTGTATACATTTTGGTTTCGTTTGGGGGTTGCTTTTGATTATTTACTTTGTTCGGTGTTCTGTCTTCCCTCACTGGCTGTGGGGCTGCCTGGCCCGCTGCTTGCCGCCTCCATAGATCCCCGTTGTGCAGCCCTCTGTCATGGACGACATTGAGGTGTGGCTCAGGACGGACCTGGTGAGACTCAACTTTTCTCTTTCGCGTGTGGGGCGTAGCTAGGCAGAGGCGTTTCTGAGGACAGGCCTGGGGACACCTGAAAGGGCTTCTCCCCAAGGGGGTGGTGGAGGAGGGAGGCCCGGCCAGCCGTGGCTCCTGCTGCCACCAGGTCCTCACAGCTGGCCTTCCCCTTCAACACCTTTGGCCTGCGGAGGCCAGTGGGGATGAAGCCCTGAGCTGGGCTTCAGCTAGCTCTATAGCTGGCTCCAAAACACACTTACTTTTTTCTGTTACTTTTCAATTTCAGCAGGTGTGTTTGTGCTTGGGTTCTTTTTTCTTCTTCTTTTTTTTTGGTGGAGTTTTTTGTTTGCTTGTTTTTGGTTTCCATTTCTTTTAACTGTGACTTATACACAGAGATGAGTTGGGTATTTGTTTTTGGTTTTTGGTTGCTTTTTTTTTTTAATTCACTGTTATCTCCCTCTTCAGTATCTTCTGGTATCTTGGATCTAAAAGAACCCCTGCCCCAGAGACCATTGTCTTTGTTCCTAGAGATAGGGCAGGAAGATAAGGACATCTGCATCTGCAAATGGCAGCAGGTCCTGAGAAAGGAGTGCTTCCATGGCTGGTCCCTTTCTCTGTTCCTTACAAAGCACTTTGACTCTCAGCAGCCTATATGGGAGGTGGGATGGAAGTTCCTGGCAGACTGATGAAGAAATGCACTTTGGGAAGAAAAGTGGCTTGCCCAAGGTCATGGGCTGGTTGGATTCTATCCAAGACCTGGAGACACCTCATCTTGCTCCTAGCTGCCCCCCCTCAGGGGGCCCTGTTCCCAGAGCAGGGCAGTTCTTTAATCTAGCTGGCTGCAGGCTACCAACGTGGCCCCCTCCCACACGAGAACAACAGACCTCACATAGGGCCTTCCACTGCTCTGGGCTTCTCTGGAAGGCCAGGCTTTCCAAAGACACTCATGGCCACCCAGGTGCCATTTCACAGGAGGAAGAAAATGCCCCATTATATATTTCCTGAGGGAACGCCTGGAAAAGAAACAGCTCTTCTCATAGAAGCAAAGCAGGCCCTCGCCTCATGAAGGGGACCCCAAGGCCCAGAGAGGGGGAGGGACTTGTCTGGCAAGGCTGCAGAGCAGGTCAGTGGCAGAGCCAAGAGGATAGCCAGGTCTCCTGACCCAGCCCAGAGCCTTGTCCACTTGCCAGCCAGCTCTCTTCCCTGGCACTATCTGTGCGGTGAGTTCCCAGTGATTACCATGTTCTCCAGACAAAATCAAATCTGGTCCACTCATTCAGAGCCCACAGAGCCTCCATGGCTCCTCAGGACCGGCAGCAGGTGATAGACTCTGGCCACAGGAGGAGGCTGGCACAGCTCCCAGGAGGCCACGGGGTATGGCTTCCAGGCGGACAGCGCCCCCCTGCCAAGCCCTGCCTTGTGTCAGGCCCTGTGCCTTGGGCTTCACAGCTCTGTCCCTCCCAGGCCTCATGTGGTTCCTAGCCGTTGACATGCACAGTGACTTCGCAGAACTCTTCCTCTGGCTGCAAAGGGACTCTGAGCAGAGGAGCGCCTGCAGGGGTCCTGGCATGCCTGAGGCCCAGCCTCCTGGTGGCCCCCTCTGGAAGAGGGGTGGGCAGAAGCCTGCCACAGCCCTGCCCTGCAGCTCAGCCCAGAGAGCCAGCCTGCACCTTTTTGGGCATTTTTCTTCTGGAGGATCGAGACCTAAGTGGTTTTTGTTTTTGCTTTTTCAAAACAAACTTTCTGTTTCTCCAACAAGATAAACAGTGCTTTGCCATTACAGAACTCTGGGCGCAGGAAGTAGGAAGTTGGGAGTTTTGCTTGGGCTCTTGTGGACAGTGCTGCCCTGGGGTGGCTGCCGTTGGGAGAGGTAGGAGGGCTGGCCAGGCCCTAATGCTGCTCTCTGCTTCTTCACAGAAGGGCGACGACCTGGAGGAGGGCGTCACGAGTGAAGGTGAGGCTCACAGCACAACCCCGGGGGCCCCTCCCTTTGCTGTTCTCCCCCGGCCCTTAGCCAGAGCACCTTTCGGTACCTGGCTGAGCTGGGCTTCCCAGGCCAGGAGCTTCCTGGCTCTGATCCATCCAGGCCTTGTGCTGAGGAAGGAAGTGTCCTAGCTTGTGACAATTGGCAGGTCACAGAGCCAGTGAGTAGCAGGTACAGGCTGCCATTCTAAGTCAACATGATCCCCAAACCTGCGCTCATAACCAGTTCACCCCACCCCCAAATGCTCAATCCAGCAGAGGCAAGACATGCCATGCAGTCCACAGGGCACACAGGGAGCCTCCCCAGGCCTGGTGTCCTGTGACTTCTCTGCTGGGGGGCCAGGTGTATGGGCCCTGTGGAGAAGTCCCCATCACGGTCCCCTCACTCCCCTCCCTCTCTCATCCCCCTTCCCCTGCAGCCCATAGGCCTCTGCTCAGCCTCCTCCCCCAGCCAGGCCTTCTGGTCAGACCCCCTCTGTGGCACAGACCCTTGCTTGGTGGGGAGGCGGAGGGAGGGGGATGTTCCCTGCCAAGTTTAAGTAGCATTCGTCCCTCCAGCTCTCCCTGCCCTGCCTCACATGCTGACATGCTGATCAGGAGAATGGAAAAGCTCCAAGTTGGGTGGAGGTGGAGGGGCAGGAATATAACTGCCCACCCTCCTCTGATGCTAGCCGGGCTTCCTGCTTGTCCTGGGGGTGGCAGAGGAGGAAATCGAGGCTGGGTCCCCAGGCAGCAGAGCACCCAGAAGCACCCCTGGCTCTGGTTGGCTGCTCTCCTGCCACTCACTGCCCACTCCTTGGCAGGTGTCCCAGGCCAGTGTGGCAATGATGGGGTCTCTCACTGGGGTGACCCTGTGGGCACAAGTGAATGGAGCTCTGTGGGAAGCAGGTAGGACGTGGCTGTTTGAGCCTCAGTGTGGGCCTGGCCCTCCACCAATCCTGGCCCTTGCCTTGCTTTTGTATTGCAGAGTTCGATAAATTCCTTGAAGAAAGAGCCAAAGCTGCTGAAATGGTTCCCAACCTCCCCTCACCCCCAGTGGAGGCCCCAGCCCCGGCCTCAAACCCCTCTGGCCGGAAGAAGCCAGAGCGCTCAGAAGATGCCCTCTTCGCCCTGTGAGCTGTTCTGTGGTGTGGCTCCCTGATGGCAGGTCACCTCTCACCCCTGTTCTCACCAGGCACTGGCCACTCCTCCCATCCCTGACCCCCACTTGGTCCTGCATTGCTGTCTCCATGGAAACACCCCTGTGTTTGCTTCCAGGTCTCCCACTAGTCAGGCCTGGCTTTAGCCACCTTCTCTCTGGATGGTGGGACAGCAGCACTGCAGCCAGAGGCGCCTCACCCCCCACCCCGCCCCTCCTGCCCTCAGACTCCCTCTGCCCATGTTTCCTCCCAGGAAGAGCAGGCAGTAGAGCCCAGACTCAGACAAGGCAGTCTACTTGGGACTGTTTCCCGAGCAGATACTTGGACTCTCGCTTCTGTCACCTGCCCACAGAAAACGGGGTCAGATCCTCCTCCACGTGCCTCTGCCCCCTGCCTGGCTCAGCGGGTCTCCTTGGCCTGGCCTGCCCCTCCCACACCCCTCTGATCCAGAAAAGGGCTTGTCTGCACCTGCAGGCTTGGTCCCCCTCCTGGGCTGCTGCTCCCTGACGTGTGTCACCTTGTGGCACTTGGCATGCTCAGCACTGTAGGTGGCTCTATGGGACGCCCGTGCGTGGGGCCTCATCTTCTTGCGCCTGTTTCCGTCACTCAGCAGCCAAGCTGGAGACGGACTGGCCTCTCACGGATTCGCAGGCTCCTGGCCTGGGGAGAGCCAGGGGCAGTGGGAGGGCAGCACGTAACCGATGGATGGTGGTCATGTGGCATGCTGGTTTAGCTCCTGCAGAGATAACACTACTATTAATATAAACGAAACTGCCCCCACGCACGTGACACGCTCCCCTCACAACATTGGCCCAAGCTGTGGAGGGGCATGCAGGAGGAGGAATTGCTCTGGCTTGCTTGGGCAGGCTTGTGGGTTTGTGAGCTTGCTCTGCTCACGGCTTTAGCATGACCTGTGGCAGCCTCTGTGCCTCTGCCGCCAGGGCCCACCTGGCAGCAGACGACTTTGCACCACGCTTAGAGATCCAAGTGACTGACGGGCCAACGTGCTACTAAGGCCCCTGCACTGTTCCTGGCATGGGCCTCAGTCTTCTCCACAGACTCTTCTGACAGCCTGACCTCCCCCCAGGCCACCTAGAAGGGAACAGAGCCTGGGGCCACACAGCTAGGGGCTGGCCACACCTGCTCCCATTCTGAGTCCTCACTGGCGTGTCTCCAGGCTGTGGGTAAGGCACTCGTGGCTCAGCCCAAGCCGGGTCCAGCCTAAGTCAGCACTGTGCTGCCACTGCCCAGAAGAATGAAAATGCTGTACAGCTGCTTCGCACCGGCCGTGATCCTTGGGGCCTGGGTCAGTGTTCCAGCACACACTGCCCAGGCGTTGGGGCTAAACGGCCAGGCCACTGTGTTCCTGACCCATGGTGCGGTCAGCCCTTCCCACCTGGCAGCCCGAGCAGGGAGAAGAAGCTGGGCTTTACACGGTGGGAACTAGCGCCACAGGCTCTAGAAGAGCACTGAGGATCAGCCGAGGGCCGTGCTGAGCCCCCCAGGAGCTGTCCTGACATCCCCTGAGCCCCTTCCCTGTCTGGCACCGCTGCAGCTTCCTCCAGAGAATAGGCCTGGGCTCTGGCTGGGGCTCCGTCTGCCAGGACCAGCTGGGGACATCACACTCCAGTTCCTTAGAGGACGCCCAGCAAGCTCTTCCTCAGAGCTCAGCCAGCCGATTTCAGGCCCTGCCAACTCTGGCAGCACGTGCCACACCTCCACTCTCCCCCCATCCCCACCCCGGCCCTCAGCCTGCCTGCACCTCTCTCAGCACTTCCTGAGGACACAGCCCCCTGAGGCCACTTGAATGTTAAGATGGCTGAAGTCCGTTAGCTTACATGGGCTGCAACAAAGGTGGCTGGGATGGCCCAGTTATAACCAGTGACTCCAGCTCGCATCCCCAGCCCTTGGGCACAGTCTGAAGGGATGGTCTCTGAGGGCCAGGGGCCCGCCCTTGCCAGTTTGCCGGCCCGTGGTGGCGGGCAGCTGGGCCTCCAATAGCTAGCCCTGCAGGAGCAGCAGACCACAGCGGCCGTGCAGCATCCTCTGCGGGAAGAGCTGGCCCCCCTCTCCTGTGAAAGGGGAAGTCTCCATAAGACGAAGCCTGAGGGGTCTCAGGGGAGAGGAGGCTCCCGGCGGTGAGTGAAGCTGAAGCATGCACCTGCCTGGGGAAACCCCAGCAAAGCTTCTCTTAATACTCGTGGTCCAGAGCTGCACCCCAGCTCCAGCTGGGCAGCAGGTGGTGAAGTCCCGTGGGCTGGCAGGAAGACATCGGCCCATGCAGAGAAGTGTCACCTGCCTTCCTGGCCTAGAGCCACCCTTCTGCTCTCACATCGTGTCTGAGGCAGCCTGCCCCAACCTGGAGGCTGAGGTGACACTTGCTTGAGGCCTGCAAAGGAGGCAAGTTCAGGCCCAGGTGTCCTTGAGGGGGCGCTGCTCAGCCCTTCCTGTCCTGAGGCTGAGGCACCCTGGGCCACAGTCACTGGTCCCTCCCCGGCAGGGAGGGCGGGAAGCACAGGCCGCAGGCCACCTGCTTAGTGCAGGGAGGAGAGCCCTGGCGGGAAAGCTGGCCAGATCCTACCCCCAGGAAAGAGAAACCCTTGCGAGTCACCAGCCTCTTCACAAGTGTTAGAAATCACAGATACAGTATGTACTTAATTACACTAAATTATTGCTGGGATTCCTTATAAGCACTAATTATACCTGATTATAGGTTAAAATATTTATTTTGTCAAAATATTTTCTTGGGAATGTGTTTAACCTTTCCTGTGTTCATTGTGTGCTGAGATGTGAAAACTAACCATTTCCTCCTGCCTACCTTTTTGGCAATGGGCAGCAGTGATGGCACCAAGTGCAGTGTGACCCAGGGCACTGGTGGGCTTTGGGTCAGCCTGCCCCGGAGCAGTGCCTGCCCAGAACCCCCCAAGCACCAAGCAGAGATGACCACCTCACATTATCAGTGTGCATGGCACAAGGGGTTTCAGAGCCATAAGGGCTTGCTGCTGACCTGGGCCAGAGGAAAAGGTGACTTTTCTCTGTCATCTGTCCTCCTGTCTGTCTGTCAGCCTCCTCAGTGTGAGTGACTGTGGCATCTATCTTGGACCAAGCCTTGGCTCCCTGCCCTTCCCTCCTCACCCCGGGGTCCAGAGCAAGTGGGCCTGGGGAGGTGTGGGGCCTGTGCTGTCACTCAAGGCCCCCAGCTGGAAGAGCGGTGACAAGGGCTCTGGGTGGCCCAGTAGCAAACACCGGACTCCTCCAGCGGGCAGGTGCTGCTCAGCTGCTCACAACCCTGCCCCTCCTCTTCCATCCTGCCACCACAGCCCACTTTGTTCTGCACAGACACGTGCTGCTCAGCCTGGCCCCGTCTCCTGGATGGTTCTGGGGGGTGCTGTGGGCCAGCTGGGGAAAAGCACGGTGGAGGCATGCTGTACTCTCAGCCTCTCCACTGTCCTGGGACTCTGGGCTTCTCTCCCCAGCCCACCCACGTGGGACAGCTGGCTTCACTACCCGTGGACAAGCGTGTCCCCAGAAGACACCCCCTGTGGTACCCGCCCTCCCAGTGCCCATCTCCAGCCCTTCCTGTCCATGGGGGTCCGAGCCCACCTTCCCCTGCAGCCCACCCCCCAAAAGCTGTCAATTCTGGAGTCACACTGCTTCTCTAAAAAACCTCCAGGCTCTCCTGGAGAAAGGGGAATGGATATTTATTTCCTCAAGTTTGCAGTTCATTTGTGAGGGTTCTCAGGATTGGGACTATTGAAAAAAAGAACGTGTTGAGTTTGTTGTCCAGTGTCCCAGTGTCTGTCACTGTCATGTGTTTCTGCAGGCAGAGCCAGTCCATCCACCCACTGGCTCTCCTTCCAGATATCATGTCTCTAGTTTGTGTTCTTGCATGTAAAATACCCCACAATAAACAAACCAACCAACCCTTCCTGTGTAATCTCTGTTGAGCGGCTGTCCTGTGGAAAGGATGGCCACATCTGACCACCTGTTTTCTCTAAGCAGGGGTGCCTCGGTGCCCTGCTGCTCAGAGCAGCCTGGGAAAAGCCCAATCCACTGCCTTCCCCCATGCCCAGCTTCCAGGGGAGGCTGGCTGGAGGGAAATCCCTGAGCCTGGGGCACAACCCAGTTTGGGGGCACTGGCTGTAGCAGCTGTAAACCCTCCATGGCCTGCCTAAGCTCTAGGACCAGGGGCGGCTGTTCTTCCTGTGTCTCATCTGGGGTCCCAGGGCTGTGGGGGGAAGCACTCCCCCAGTCGGAGCATCTGAGGCCTTGAGCAAGCAGCCCTGAGCCACCACCACTTTAGCACCCCATCAGCTGGGCTCCCCAAATTTGGCTAGGCCTTCAAATCGTCTATAGAGCTTGTGCTAGGGACTGAATTTGAGAGCTGCTTCTCCAAGCACCCCCCCCTTTTTTAGTAACAGCTTTATTGAAATATAATCCACATAGCATTAACCCATTTGAAACATACAATTAGGTTTTTAGTACATTCACAGAGTTGTGCAACCATCACCACAATCAATTTTAGAGTATTTTCATCACCCCCCAAAGAAATCTCTACTCTTCAGCAGTCACTCCCACCCCCCATCCCTCTCTCCCTTTTGAAAAGGTTTCTCTCCTCCTGTGCTGGGAGCTGGGCACTTGCTACCAGGCCATGGTCCTCCAGGAAGCAGGCCTCTCAGGGAGGCAGGGAGCCCTTCCCTCCCTTCACCTCCCAGGATTCCAGGACGGACCTCAAGTGGGGTACACTCTTCAAGCCCCAGATGAACGAATATGGAGACATCTGCCCAACCTGTGTGTGCAGGTGAAGAGATGAGGTCTGGAAAGAGCCATACGCTTGCCTAAGGTCAGCCAGGGCTCAGCAGCAGAGCCAGCACTCAACCCCAGACCACAGGCCTCCCAAGGCAGGCCATGGGAAAGAGGGCAAGAAAGACACCATCTCCATGAATAGCAGAGTAGGCTGCCCCACCCACCCTGAACACCAGCCCTTCTGGGAGGGTAACTCAGGAGGGGGCTGCTCTGCCTGTTGCTAGGAGGTGGGGGGTGGGGGAGAGCGGGGAGGTGGGCCTGACTGGGGACCACACTGGGGCAGACATCAGCCCAGGCCACAAGCAGCAGTGCCCAGCTCCCTTCAGCGAGTGGCCTCCCTGGGCTTTAGGGAGTTCTGTAGAGATCCTGCCTGTTTCCAGCCAGAGTGAGATGGAGGCCCCCACACCAGGGGGAATATGGGAGTGGGCCTCTGAGGTGTGGGAGGCCAGCAATCCCATCCCTGTGAATAGGAGATGTGTCTGCAGAGCCCATTCTGTGCCCCCAGCCCTACATGAGGCACTGTGGGCACCACAAGGAGCCTGAGCTGTGTCCCTGTCCTGTGGAGAGTGGGCCAGCCCTGAGATACCACCGTGGACTTGCCAGGACACCTGGTCCACTTGTGCTTTCAGTCCATGTTCCTGAGAGCCTGCTCTGTGCCAGGTTGGTGCTAGAGAAAAGGGGCTGCTCGGGTCCTGCCCTTGGGGAACTCGCAGCCTGGTTCAATTCCCAGAATCAAGGGCACTCTGCAGCAGGAAGCACTGGAGCCTTTTCCTGGGACCTGGGGGGCAGGGAGGCCCGGTAAAGCAGCCAAGCTGTTGTTTCAGTAGGCAGGCCAGCCACAGAGAAGCAGAAGGGAGGTCAGAGGAGGGGGGAATCTGACCCAACTGAGAGTGTCCTGGGAGGGACCTCAGGACCTCTGGTGGACACTTGCCAAGATGCATTGCCCCAGTACATTAACCGCTGTTCTTTATAAGGAGGGGTTCTATGGAGTAAGAAGTTTGGGAAATGCTGGAGTAACGTTAAGCAGTATCAGGACCTCTTTGTCCAAGATAAGGGTAGTTTGTGGTCCAAACTCCTCATTTAGAGATGGCATATTGGAACTTTGTTGGTTGTGGCAGAAATGTTTGATTTGATCAGAAAGGAATTATTAACTTACATGACTGAAAAGTTCAGCTTCAGGTACAGCTGGGTATGGGTGCTTAGGGATTTGGTTAGGAAGCTGCCTCTCTCTCTGTCGTGGCTCTGCTCCCTCTGGGTGGCCTCTTCCCCAGTTGCCTGAAGGCCGCCTGCAGCTCCAGCCTGACATTCTGCTAGCAGAGAGAGGGTGCCTCTTTCCCAGTAGTCTCAGCAGCAGAAGTCCCAGAACCCACCCTGAAAAACCAACCACACTGTCAGCAGAGGGAGGATGAAATCGGGGGAGGCACAAACAATAGATGGTCACTGCAGTGTGCTTGGAGAGGGCCAGAGATGGGAGCGACACACGTAAGGCACAGACTGGGGCAGAGACGCACTTCTGGACTCCCTCCTCAGCCCTCGGCTGTTTCCCTTCATTGGAGTGCTCAGAGGCGCTGCTTTCCAGCTATAGTTTCCTTCCCCAGAGTTCTGGGAGGGGGCAGTGCGGGAACACTGTGGGTCCTATCATGGCTCGTGGCCCCCCTGCCTGCTAATCCCTCACCGAAGCACCGGAGGAGGGGAGAGTCTAAGAAAAAGGTCTCTTTGGGGTTCTCGCGGTGCTGGGGGTGGGCAGAACCAGAGGCCTTGAATAGGCATGAATCACCCAGAAATTCCAGTTTATTTCAGAGGAGCCCCTGCCAGTTCTTGCTGGGTGGCCCTCAGAGGGGTCTGGCCCAAGGCTTCCAAGCCTAGGCCCTCAGCATCCCAGGGAGCAAATCTGTGCTCTCAGCACTAGGGAGTCAGTGAGACGTTTCTGGAAACTAAGTGGACTCCTCCATCTGGGGCCCTATCCTCTCCACCCCTATGCATGCTCAAATAGCACTCTCCTCGGGGCTGCGGGCTTCACTGTAGGTCCCTGAGCAAGTCACTGCCCTTTCTGGTTTTTACTCACCTGCTATGAAAGGGGATCCTGGGTGGTGAATTCAGTGCCTATAGGGACCTTTTTATTATACTCATTTATATTGAGTGAGGTGGGTTAGGTGTGATGCCCAGGGACTGATGGGGACTGTGGGGGAGTTCACAGCCCTGGCTGGCTAAAGGGGAGACCAATTGTTGAGCCCAGTGTTGCTCAACAGTCCCATTTTTAAAGAAAAGCCAGAATCCAGCCTTCAGGTGAAATCTTGGACAATTAATTAAAAATCAGAACCCATGTATAATTGGATTTGGTCTGTGGTCCCCATTCACTCCCTGCCACAAACTCCACCCACCCCATTCTGTGACAGCCCCTCAATCTACATCTGGCATCTCCCCAAATAGCCAGTTAGCTCCTAGTGGACAGGTGTCCCCCCTCATTCATCACATTTGTGAGCCTCACCCCTCACTGTACAAAAGACTCTAGGGTTCAATCAGATCTTTGTAGAGGGTCTACTGAGTGACTCATGATTACCCTGGGGGTGACCACCATGAGCAAGCCTCCCTGGGCACAGCTGACCCAGGGAGGCTCAGAGAGGGCCAGAAGTAACTTGCCCAGTGCAGAGCAGAGGCCAATATGGAATGAGAACACAGGGTCATCTAGAACCACAGTGGTTCCAGTTGCCACCTGGTTTCATTATGTCTAGATGCAGAAGGGTGGGGAAGGGTGATCCAGGGCTGGGGGCTGGCTAGCTGCTGGCTTGGTGCTGCCTGGCCCCCTCCCTGCTAGGCAGGCCCCAGCTTAGCTACCTGCAGAAATGAAGTAGAAATGGGGACAGGGGACTCCAGGAGTGGAGCCTCCTAAGCAATTCCCAGGGTGGCCAAGCCCAGCCTTCTTGCCCACGGAGTGCCTGCCTCTCCACTCCGTGATGGGCTTGGCTCAACACCAGTGGCCTTGGCAGAGGCCCTGCCTGTGCTGGACACCAGCCCAAAATGGCTTGGAACCCACTAAGACACTTGGGGACACCTGGGGGAAAAAGTGACACCCTATATCTCACAGTTGGTAAAAACAAGGTCTGGCAGGGAGGAGCCAGGCTTTTTGAGCACAGTCCAGAGAGTTGGGGGCCCCCCCCTGCAGGGGCAGAGGGCGGGGCCGTTCTGGTCAGCCCCGCCCAGGGTCCAGGCCACACACCTGGCAGCAATCCCAGCCAGGTGTCTAGCCAGAAGGCCCAGCCGAGAGAGCAATCCCAATTGGCCCCTGGGACCCAGACCCTGCCAACCGCACAGCGGCCCCGCCCTTCCCAAGTAGAACAGGCACAAAGCATGTGACCCAGAGCCTGGCTCCCGGGAACTTCTTGCTGACGCCGCGTCACCCCACTTCGGGCCAGGCGCCCATTGGTTGCACCGCGGCCCGCGGAGGCAGGGCTTGTCTGGCTTGGCGCCCCCGCTTCTTTGGGTCTCCAGCCACTGCCCTGCCTGGGCCTGCTTGGAGACCAGCCATCCCAGCTCCTCAGGCTGCCCGACCCTGACACGGTCAGGGGCAACAGGGCTGTGAGGTCCTGGGCAATTCGCTTCACTTCCTCCTGCCTTGTCTTCTTTATCTGTAAAAGGGGAATGATAACAGCCCAGCCCTCCCACAACTGTTGGGAATACTAAGTGGGTTAATACCGGTAAGCCCTCAATGATTGTAAGCAATGCAGACACAGCTGGTAGCATCACTGTCAGCCAGGCTGGGACCTCCTGCCGCTCCTAGGGACACCAGAACAAAGGGGCCCACCACCACAGCTTGTGCCACTCAGTGCCCTGGCACAGGTTTCTTATGTGAGCTCAGATCCCCTAGCCAAGAAGGGCCTGAGGGGCTTGTTTGGGGGTCTCGGGATCTTTGAGGGGGAAGAGCCACCAAGAGAGAAGTATGTTCCTCTGAAGAACTGCAGCTCCCAGTCTTGGTAGCAGATGTAAACCTCCTCCCTCCCCCCCCACACGCCGCCCCGCTTCCATGCCACATATGTCAAGAGGCTTCAGTTGCAACTGGCATTGCTTGTCTGGGCTTCAGGTCATCTGCTGGCCTTGCCTTACGCTCTTTCCCCTAACTCCT